AGAAGCATAGTCAGGATAAATACCCCTAACAACTGAATGAATATACGTCACAAGTAACAAAATTATTATACACCAGAGTATTGGGACAAGTCCTAATTTCGAGAGTTTGCCAAGGCGGCTGTTTCCATCACACCGTTTGTCAAACAAACTTCTAGCATTCCCCTGTAAATTAAATGCAAAGAACATAATAAAGATATAACCCATCCCAAATGCTGACAAATGTTTAAATTAATGTAAAAAATCAAACTGTTTGATCAACATATATTTAGGGAAAATAGGCAAATCACCATTTTCATCTCAACAAGCTCTATCCATTTTCTTTTTAACTTTATCAAGAAGCTCCAATAATGCAAGAAACTAGATTTTCCATGCCTAATCAGCTTTATAAATTTCTGCATTCCCTCATTGTATCCAAACTTAACAAACTCCTTTGAACAATGTCAAAAAATTGGCCTTGAAGATCCAATTAGAAATTTCCTACCAATTTGGCATTCCTTCATGAATTCTAAAACAGTAGCTTTCATTGATCTGTCCAGGGCAGGGGGAAGAACAAACAATTTTATTCAATTCCTTTTTTTCTCTCTTTTTGACAACAAAAAACCTCGTGAAAGAAAGAAAATGAGTAAATACATGACACATCCAGTCTTTTTGATGATTTAATCTCAAACAGCATTTTTCAACATCGTTTCCCAGTTCTCATGCATGATGTTAGACAGGGGGGAGGGGGGTCAGATTGTTATAATTATTTAAAGAGTTAGAACTTGATCATTTATGAGCTCCAAACAAAAATTATAAAATATGGAAAAACTTCGCAGGCAACTCTAATGTGAATCGGATGTCATATTCTATGGGTGTAAAAATGGTCTTTCATGCCGTGGCAACAGAATCGAATTAGATGCAAACTAGCATAAAATTCGATTAGAAACCAAGAATAATTAACAAGAAGCAAAAAATAATCAGTTGACAACTCTATAAAAGGCAGACAGCTTGCACCTCCAACGAATAAGTAGTCGCACAGTTCGCACAGCTAGGTCCGAAGTGTTGGGAAATTTCACACCAATTCCCCCTTTTCTACTTAACCCGCAGGATCTTTTGTTGTTCAGAATAATATTAGCAAACAAGAAAAATAAAGAATATAACGCACAAATTTAAATGGACCGTCAAATCCTTTTCACTATATGAAAATATAG